ATATAAGTTTGTCTTATTTAAGTGGATTGGTACATATTTAAATCGTTTTATCGACTTAAATATATTGACAATATTACAGTTATCTCTTACTATAAAATAATAAGTAGATAATTGTATTATTTTGTTACTTCTACAGACTACAGCGAAGGTTCTTGTAAGCCTACAAATATATCTGGTTATACCTATTATTATTTATTGCACACAAATACATAGTCTAATACCCGACTTTATATATTATATACATAAGATAATATTACACGGGTAATAATATGTTTTTCAAATAGATTTAGTTTCATTTTTTTTTTTTTTTAGGTTTAACCGAATACAATTATATTTTTTTATCAATTCGTCACTCTTTATATTTAGGTATACATAATAATTTAAACAACAAATTATATACCTACTAACATTTTACATGGTAATTATTATTATTTTTAATTTCCCTTTTATAATTGAACTACACATAAATTAATAAAATAATATATTCTATTCAATATTAGGGAAATTGATATAGACATGACAGACCAAATCAGTATATGAAACTTGTTATAAAATTGGTTTCCCATAAATTTTTTCTTTTTTGTTTCGCTCGAATGAGTGACATACTGACATGCCCAAATATAACGAATCCTAGATTCACCGAAATGAACTCATTGCACGCATGCGAAATTTACATATTTTCGTATATATTATTATAATAACTATACACGAGTAGACAGTTCAAAGGTATTAAATTTTCTTTTTATCTTAAAACTGACTAGGTACCGAGTTATGTGTATTTGTAACGAAATACTGTACCTATACTATAATAAAATCTATATTATGTATATAATATAATATAGGCATGTACTTAAATTGTTGAATAGTAATATCTAGGTACATGGAATATGGATATTGGATATGCAAGAAACAAGCAGCATAGGCACACTATTAAATATTATAATATATTATGTTATATAATGATCGGTGAGTGTTTAAGCGTTTTTATCGCGTGTTTAATATATTTTTAAATGGCTGCTAGCTTAAACATTTTTAAACATGGATAATATTGTAATTAATAATATAATATATAAATATATGAATATAATTTAGCAGTCACATCACGCGCTTGATATTTTAACCAGGGTTATGTGGCCGTCGTCATAATGTGTTTCTTAAACATAAGTAATCAGCTCATACCTGAGTATTTAGTTAAGTCGCTGGGCATTTGGCAGTGTATACAATTAGCCTGCTGTAGGCACGTTATTATAACATAAAGGAAGTTTGCAATTAAAATTCGGATATATATATTTATACAGGTTACAGGTACGTAAATAGTACCTACCACAGCAAGGTGGTTCGCAGTTTGCGTGTTGTGTTTTCATAATTACATATTCCGTTCTTAGTCATTTAGTCACTACATATATGTTATAAATGTTTATATTATTATCTGTTTTCCTAGTACATCGTCGTAAGTATATAATATATAATATTATACTATGTAATAATAAATGTCACCTACTCCTAAAAGTGCTCATAGCCTTACGTGGCTATTGCTGTTTAGAAACTGTACATAGTACAAAAGAGGTAGGACGTAGATATTACATAAATGATAAACGATACTATTATTTTATAGGTGGAACCCATTTAAAATCCAATTGAATTTTAAACGAATAATATTTAGCCATTGGAATTACCAAAAGGTCAACCGATTAACGTTGTTTATTTACGTTTAAATGTGCAATTTGATCACATATTGTACTTTTATTTTTCATTTTTTATGTACCTAAACGAAAATATCAAACGTACGTTTGTAGTTCACCGGTCTGTATAATATTAAGCAAACACGTCAAAAACAATATTGACGTATCATAATATAATATGATGATCAAAGCAGATATCCAACAGTTTCCAATGACAGTTAATTGTATATAATCCATGTCTTGTATGAAATGATGATTTCAATGTCCAACGATAAATATAAGCATAATTCACAGTAACACGTTGCCAGATGTTTCAAAAAAAAAAAAAAAAATTAAAGCAAAACGCAATCATAAATTTTAAATGGAGCCACTGATGTGTTTTTCTCTAGAAAACGATGTTTATGTTACAACGGAGGCTAAATATAATAATAAATTGAAAATTTATGTTTTATATAATATATTATATAAACAATTTTTGGCGCATTGGAATATTTTAACAGTCTTAACACACAAAATAATAGTTTGAATTGCGGTGAAATGATCAGTTATTAGAACTATTTATTTTAAGATATTTCTTTTTCAATACATTTATAAATCATAAAACATGTTCAGGTTTAATTCTAAGTCGTGTACTCATCATATTCTACCATATTTTAATTACTTGCAAAATTAAATGTATGAAATAACTCTTTGAAATAATGTATGTGTACTTTGATTACTTGAGCACTTTCATGTGTCAAATGTTTTAACATTATTGTTGTAAAAGTAATACCTACCTATTGCATTACCTTGCAGCGAAGTGGTGAGTGAAACGAGAAAAGTATCCAACGGACAGCAACCAACACTAAAGGGTCCTCACTCCTCTTTACCCATATCCTTCATTGCACTTTGTTTCGATTTATACATACAACTAAATGTACGTCATAACAATTACTAATTAATATTTATAAATCCTAACTATTCATCTTGATATCGGTGCTCTTAAAAATAACTGGTGAGAAAAAATAACATTTTGTTTGTCACCGCTCTTCAGTTATATTATGGACTATGGTTAATGGTTATTTCTTATATATATTATTATTATTACAACATTCCTTTTTTAATATGCATAAATATTATATTGTATGAAATGCGTATATATAATTTTTCCAACCATTTGACATATTATTATAAAAAGCATTTAAAATTTTAGTTTTTATGGCACATTAAAAATCTGTCTAGTAAAATAATTTGTTTCCAACTATACATATTCATTATAGTATATACTATTCTAAGTATTTTAAATTTAACTATTTGCGTCGCGTGGCTCCCATATATTTATTATTATATTACTAAACTTTTGCTTATACTTTCTTTTTTTTAATAACATTTTTACTACAATTTTCTTACTTGCTGTTTTTTTTGTTCATCAATATTTAAAAAAAATGTATTTTATAAATGGCAGTGATCATTTTCAAGGTACTATTTAAAAAAAAAACCAGTGTCACAAAAATAGTATTCGCTGCACGAGCGACCAGTGGTGAAATACTGGAATCAATATAGGTACCTACCTATGTTTATAGTTTAAGTGGGTCATCTTAATTGTCATTCTTTATTTGATAATATCACGTTTAATTGGCGAAAAAACTTGTTAGTGCAAAATTTTGACGGCAATTTTTACCGTGACGTAATTGTATTCCTAAACTTCTATACAGTTTACTACCCGTGATCTTATTTTGTTGAATATTTTCATACCGAAATTGTATTTGTATTTAGACAAGAAAAACTTGTGTTATGACTAGTTTCTTTGTTGTTAAAAAAAAACTTAAAAAAGCACTTGATTCTATATTATGTTGGTTTTTTACAAGCTTGACGCTATACAACGGATAACAATGCAGCGACCTTGTAATGAGCATAAGTACCAATGAGCTATTACACGTTTTTAACTTTAAACAGATACTTTTTTTTTAATATTCGACAATGCAAATGGTTAGAGACACGGCAAGCGTAATCGCATATGCGATATAGTGACATTCGTTTTTAAAACATACATATTTTATGATTAATGCCATAATATTTATTAAACGTTTTATGTACTGTGAACACATTTTAAACACATACCTACAGTATTACATATTGGTTAAACGTCATATTTTAGAATCAAAATTATTTCCATTCGATATTTGCAGGATATAATTTGTACCTTTAACTTGTTGTATATTTGATTTAGAAAATTTAAAAACTTACATTATATAATATAAAAGTCATAGCAGTGTTTATAATCTGTATATACTATTTGTATATTCTGACTAAATTAAATTTGATTTGTACCTATCTGATTTGTTTAAATAATAATTAGTTAATGTCTCTATTCGTCTATTTGTTTAATATAATTAATATTGGTTGTATAACTTAAACATAATATGGTACAATGCTAATTCATATTTAATATTAACTATTTGTCTAGAAATATAGGTCAGTAGCGTAGCCAGATAATGAAAGGAGGAGGAGGGTTAAGTACAAATAAAAATAAGCTTTTTACAGTTTTCGTAAACAAATAATATTGTTATTGGTGGTAAAGGAAATTGGGGAGGGGGGTTAAACACCCCCTGGCTGTGGCGCTGATATAGGTATACCATTTGAATTCTATAATGTTTCTAAGACCCCACAAAAAAGCCAAATTTGTTCATCCATTGAATGTAAACGTAATTTACGAAAAAGTACATCTCTTAAATAATAAATTAAATTTACATTTTATTTATTGACATTAAAGCGCACCACAACTGAATAACTATTTTACAATTTATTCAGTTATGTTTATTTACATCTGTCTACGTTATTATATATGCATCCGTTAGCTGAGTTTTCAAAGTTCAATATTAACAAAATAATCATATTTCAGACCAAAACTTAATTTATGATACTTAAATACATTAAAAATTCATACCAAATTTAGGTATTGTGTAATATATAGTTACAATATGGCCATTATATAATTTTACACTCGTCAATAAAACGATTATTGTAATTTAGACGATACTCGGTTTTTAGTATAATTAGGAGCTGATTATGTTACATAGGCCTACATACCGTATATGCGTTATTAGTTCTGTCCTTGCATCGTGACTCATAAGTAGGTACATATTGAATGAATCAACAGAAGGTTCTTCAAGATATTCCAATTTGTTGAAAGTTTGAGAATAATATTATTTGTCTTTTGATGATTAATTTTGGTATCGAAAAAGATAAACGGATTATTTCTTATTTACTTGGTGGTTTTAGTATTATATAACGAGAGGTGACGTTACAAATCCGTAATTTTGTTTTTCGGTGCAATTAGCTAAATAAACTGCAGTGTTACTAATAGTTGTGTAATTCATTTAAATTCATGATGTGCTACTGCTTACAATATACCTTATCAATATAGGTACAATAAATAATGGTTTATGTTTTAATATTAAAATATCGTCATACTAACAAATTTGGCAAACATAAATACTGGAGAGACTGTCGGGTGTGCATAATGAACAACCCTATCTTAAGGGCTGAGGCGTACTCCATATTATATGCATATATAGTAATTACTCATAAGTCATGTGCCCGTATACATTTATTGTGTTAAAATTTATCAGCGGACATATTATTACCATTTAGATTTAATAATATTGATAAACAATAATTGCAATATTGCAGGTGTTTTGGTCATGAATAATATCGAAAATCTTTTTTGAACTGCTCGTCGACGAAACTCTGTTTTCCCGAAGTGCGTACCGCGAAGCAACGACTTTCTACTCCTTATTTCTATGTCGTGTCTGAGGTATATAACTCAAAAAATACACAAGTTGAATTTTTTTTTTACTCTCCTAGCGATTCTAGTTATCGAGACCCAACTGTATATCATCATCATGTATAAACTATGGACATGTGGGTGCGCCTTTTATCTCGAAATATCATGTGGCATCGTTAAATATTCGTCGACAAGCACGTCACATTGGTCAGCAAGCTTAATATGTAATAATTGTATATGTGGCTTCGGAACAAGTGTGCCATATTATCATAATATACTTCCATGTGCGTGTGCTATTCGTTAATATTATATATGTATGTAATGTTTTCTCAATGTCTTCCCCAATACCCAATGCTCATAAAACGTCACTATCGTTACTTATTAGCAATAAAAACCTTAAAAACTCGTCAAATAATAATTGCCGATTGTGATCATGACAAAGTCTCGGCCGGATAGAACACCCGGACGTGCGTCAATGTACAGAAATAGTGTTTTATATTATTATTCTTCCGAGCCATTATTGTTTTTACACGATCATAAACGCATATTAGTTGACAATAATAATATATACAGCAATAATAATAATTGTCTGTTTAGTTTTTAGGTACATACAGTTATTACAGTGTAATATGTAATATGATCTATTTATTATTTAACATAATATAATTTATAGAACACGTCATCATGGAATATCACATTCATTATACTTAATACTTATGCGGCAAACATAATATTATGCATTATAATGTCGGTCAAAACAAAATCAATTGCGTTTTAAATTTTTGATATTAATATTATGTTCTCGTGCATGAATAACGGCGTACATTGACTGTCTGCCGTCTGGTGTAATCGGAAAGTACAATAAAAAGACAACAACAACAACAACAACAACAACAACAAAACAAAATCAAACGTGGACCTATTTCCTCTTAAGGAGACTCTCTTGTAAGTTATAATATTATACTATTCCCAAAACGATATCGACGCCTATTTTATTTAACACACAATAATATAGTCATATACGATATTATAGATATAGATATTAGATAGTAATGTATGTAGTAGGTTTATTCTGTGGGTTCGGATAGGAAAAATTATTTTTACACATGACACGTACGCGCATTACCATAATAATATCTCTTCGAGTTAGTCTGGCAGACGACGATCGATCGGTCGGTCAAACGTGAAAATTGTTTTTTCTCCTACCTGTAGGTGTTAATACGTACATATTTGTGTACACACAAAACAGGCTAAGGCGTTTACGAGTTTGCGTTTTGTTTGCAAATAAGGATTTCAAGGGGTATTATACGACATATTATTCTGTAGTTGACGATCCCATAATATTATATGTTATCATTGTGTATTGATCGACTGTTATTATTGCTCAGATTCGTCGAGGTTGAATGAGTCTAGTCCATTTAGCTGTTATACTACACCCACTTTTATTATATTATGCTCTCTTAACGCTAGCACAGCTTTCGACGACGTTTGAACTTCATTCATTCTCGAATAATATAAAATATTATTATAAATAATAAATATATCATAGGTACAATGTACCCACGCAGAGAGTATCCCGAATCTCTGCCCAATCGCCATAAAAATAATAGTTACATTTCGTAATGAATTATTAATATAAGGATGATATGATAATAAGGTCATATTTTAGCCTTTAAAACCGCTTTTGGCTGTTATATTTTTTTATTTTATCAAAGAGGACATTAAACTATATATTATTGTGCTCACGTATCGGTCGATGATAGTAATAATAATAATAATAATAATAATATTATATTATAACATCTACAACAACGATGTTATTTTGTTCCGTATTCGTTGTTTTATGAATAAACATATAATTATTGGGTTTACGGGTCATTTACACGATGACGTATAGTGTATACAATACGACTTTTGAACGGGTTGGGTATTCGCGAATTCGATTATTATCGATTTTACATTAAATACGCCTACAAGTTACCACCTGCCACTCAGTATATAATGTGTAAGCCAATATAGGTGATATGGATAGAGTGTGTGCAACATTAAAGTAATAATTATAATGTATAAACCGCTGTTCTATTTCGGTATTTACTATTTATGTAGGTAGTTATATAATTGTGTATTTTAATTATTCCTAAGATCTGATCTAGATGAAACTGTGTGTTTTAATAATGCGTTGAGTCACTGCCGAAATTATATCATTCTGTGTCAACCAATGATTCGTATGCAATAATGCGAGCTAAACCTAAACGTATTTCGACAAACAAATAAATGGCCGTTCGAACGTTACCGTAGAGTGCAAATCGTACATTTATACATTTTTCGCGTAGGTATAAAAATAAAAAGCCAATTGATAATGCACCAAAACTAATAATGATAAATAAATTATTTATGATGTAGTAATCACTTAATCTAAAAATAAAACATTATTAATCGTAATTGTTGTTAATCATTATAAATTATAATGATGCATACGCTCTCGTGTGTATATATAAGTTTAATATAATATGGTTATCGCCGTATTAAATTTTAAATTTAAAAACTAATTATTACGAAATAACGTATACATAGGTGGTTTCGCTGAATTTTCATAATCCAACTTATTGTTTTCCATTTTCATTTCTGAGGTATTGTGATTAGTGTTATACTGTTATTAAGTTCCACTTAAGTAATTATAAAGCTCAATAATAACTAATAAGTTATCGGGTGATTATTATATTTTTATTATTTATATATATATATATATATTATCAATGCAAATAGTATCTACTATCTACCTATGTTATATTATACATTTTTATCAATGCAAATAATAGCTACCTTTATTATACCTATAATAACATAATATTTCCGTCTGTCTGACGTTTGACACGTATTATAAAAAATATATTATTAAAATACCATCATACTTTTATTATTATAAATATCATTCAACAACAATTATATTGTGCAACTATCAAACACTATTAACGAATATCGATTGATAGGTTTATTATTTATTTATTTCATACCAGCCGTAGCTGCATTAAAAAATAAAATTGTTATAATTTAAGAGCATGTAGATGATGCCGCTATGAGTCTCTGTCTTTATGATTAAGGTACAGTGTACAGCATAGGTTTTGAGGTCAGTAAATTCAGTTTTGTGTTGTCAGCTTTAATATTAGGGTGAAATCAGTGATTTGACCTATAATAAAACTTAAATATAATAACCTTATCTGATTGTAGGGCACGAATATTAGTAGCGTCGTGCGTTTGGCGAATTACCTTTTTACCCGTCTAATGAGAACAATGTGCTTGGCGAGTTCTTTTTACTGTGTTTGAGCGAGTATGATACGATATAAAATATTAAAGATAAAATCATAAAGATTAGGGTAAAATATTATATTGTAAGTTCAACCTAAACTTAATTATTATGGAAAAATTACCATCAGTTTTGTTCGATCATTTAAAACGTGAACTCGTTATAGTGTTAGTGTTGGTTATTACTTATTACTTATACATTTAGTGTGGATCTTAAAAATGAAAACATTTTTACTACAAAACGAAATTAACGATGCATTAATTCGATTGAAGTATACTAAAAAAGCTCACCCCAACACAATACGACGTTTTAAAATCACTCACCCGAACACTTTTCAATTTTTAGAAACTTTTACAAACCGCCCAAACACACGTGGGTGTAACGTCCTTTTAATATAACAAATAAAGCTATTTACTCAAATGTTGTGACTATAAGAATGTAAAGTTACTTATCTGAATTGCTTTTAATTATATTAAGAGCTATAGGTAAAGAAAATTAACTTTATCAGGATTTGTTACGTCGTTATTTTTCTAATTTAGGTACTATGTACCTACTTAGTCCAAAAGTCAGATTTATTTACATTAAGTACATAAAAAATAGTTGTAGAGCTCTCAAGGAACTCACATCATTTTTTTTTCAATTTTAATTATAGAAGTATATAAGCATATAGCATTTAAAATATATATTCTCCATTGGTATATACATTTTACGGACTTAATAATATAAAGTAACTCAGTACATACGACTGATACCTATAGATAATGTTTACGAATTTATTTCATGAGTAGGTAACACAAGTTACAATTTATGGCAAAAAAAAGGCGGGCAAGTGGGAAACTCTCTGCCGCACAGTAGGTGTCGAGTGGGTCACCGTAATGGATGTGTTAAATTTTAATTCAATGATAAAAAATTATTGTTTACGAGAAACGATTGTGAGCCAAGATGGTTTTACAGCCAATATTACTACCTACCTACCTAAGCATATTTTATGATATTATTACTATAAAGTAATTTATTTCAGCAAGTACCTGCAATAGGTTGAATTAAATTTTATCAAAAGCGCAGCATTTGAAAATGTTATTCTGTCATCAGTGTATAAAATAGAAAAATATATACTTGAAAAGTTTTAATTATCCACGAATAATATTTTTCAATTACAATAAAATGACTAAAATCGTTAATCTTCGTTAAAAATCCTTATTTTTTTGGATGAACCAAATTTTAAATCAAAATGTCTATACAACAAAACGGGATTATATATATTTTTCGATTTCTTTGTTACTGTATCCAACTACTTATGAGATACCTTGTTTCATATTTTAAATCATTAGCTATACAAATTATAGGTACATTTCATCGCAAATGTACGTGATTTTGATGAGTTTTGTCAACATATCAACTTTAAATGCTTTTAAAAAACGTATCTTAACACGTTAACGCGTATAGAAAATGATAAGATAGACATTTGGATATAATTTCAAGTAGGTATATATACGGTTATTCGTTTTTAAGTTACTACAAAAAAACAAAATCGATTTTGTCAAATATTGGTTTTGAGTAATAATCCCGTTTCTTATTTTTTTTTTGTTTTTTTCCGTTGTTTTGGAAAACTTTGGGTATTTTCAATTTTGACCTTTCAAAACAACCAAATAGATGACATTTATTACCAGTAACCACCCTGAAAGTGGAAAATCAAAGAATTTTTTCTATTACATTTCATGCGCACAGAACAAAAAAAAACACACTTCATTGTAAAATCAATATACATTAAATGCTCCGCTCAGAATCTAAAATAACATGAAAGTTACAGTTATCGATTTGTGCGACTTATCAACTTTATATTATTAAGTTTAATATTATAAACTTTAATACTCTTACAAAATTATATGTTACAATAATTATTATAATACACCACCCAGCTCTAATATGGTATATTGGTATAGTATCTAGTACCTACCTATCGATTCGGTACGGAGAAGTATAGGCAGTACAATGGGCACACGAATACATGTAACTATTAACTAGAGTCCCAAGGATGCGTAGATATTAACAAACTTTTGAAGACGACGACGGTATTTTATGATTTATGGATTTTGAGTCCGTTCGCGTATAATAATGTGTCGTCTTGGTAATCGTGTTATTGTCGTGACGTCGTGTTAAAGTTTAAGTTTTTCAGGAATTTAACGTGACTAATGAGAACATCGAATATTAATTATTAATAGTCATCCGATTCATCGAGGACGCCATGCTGGTTGCATCATTCGTTGTCATTTCGTATGCGAATAAAAACAAGAAAACTAACTGATTTTCATAAGCAAAAATCACGGGTAATTTTTAAAATAAAAACAATACTTTAGGCTCGATTTCATTGACATATCTCTAGAGAACAACGTTATAATCTATTTTTATTTAGTTTTTATTTCAAAGCGAATTGTTGTTGAAATTTCGAAAACCAAACAATTTTTACTGTTATAATCTACTATAATGTACATTGTATACCTTAGTACTAGTTAAATTGTTTTAAAATAAAAATCTTGAAAAATGAATATTATGTAATATTCTTCTCTACAAATTGCACAATAAGTCCGTCATAACGGGCGTATAGATTTTGAAATATTCGGCGACTAAATAAGGATGATGCAGGGCTTGCAAGATTTCTGACTGTATAAATATTATAATAATAACTTATATAATATTTCTCCCTTACTCAAATGAGCTTACATCAATTTTTTTTTATTTATTCACTAAAGTTCTGAGTTTGGTTTATTTCAAATTGATATATTATGTTAATAATATGTGTGTTTCAAATTTATATTATACTTTAATATAATACATAATACTTAGTACATAACATATTATACAATATTCTCTCTTCAGCATGAATAACAATGTATTATTCGTTTCATTTCATTATTGATTAAAATATTATTTTGAGTCTATAAAAAATTGTATGAATATATTAAACTATGTAGGTACTTCATAAAAATATTTTTTATATTTTTCATATTTGTATATTACTGCAGAGTATTGAAACAGATGGTACCGAAGGCGGACAAAATCAAAGCTACTCGGGCCTAGTGTCAGCTAGTGGACGATCGAATACCCTCTGAATTATTCCCTGCACTTAAATTCACTTAGGGGCCATACAGTAAAATATCAAACGAGTTGAAGCATTGCAACTTTTGGTAAATCGTATACTATAGGTAGGTAGTTATTGGTTTTGACATACTTTTGTGAAAACACTACGACGAATGACGTCGATGCATTTGTGTCTTCTGTACGCAATACCTAATATTGTGTACAGTTTATAATACATAAATTAATTAATAAAACATGATAAAATATTTATAGTTTCATAAACGCGTTGTGTAAGAATACAAGACGTCGAAACAACGTTTGCGGGGTGATTCACCAAGCATGCTTTTTTTCTTCCAGTCATACTATTGACTTATTCAAATTCTGAGTTTTTGAATTTCTTAGTAAAAAATAGTGGGTATTATGTGAACAAAATGTTTGCATATCACCACAATACACTTCCTTATTAAATGGCGATAAATTATACGAAAATTCAAGTACCTACCTACCACGGTTATCTACACTCTATATAACCGCGGTACCCACCTGTACTAAAATATGGTCGTTATGAGTATATATTTTTAAATCCCGTCATCAAAATTTGAATGAATTTCATAAAAGATGCATTATTAAATAAATAATTATTCAAGTGGGCTGAGCATGGCTGGTGAATCATTTAGTGTATAATTGGGACATTGGGTTCGTCCTTGTCAGAAGACGACTACTTGTTGTGTGAATCCTGAACACGAGCCTGGTCAAAGTCTCGCGGACTTTGAGAAGTACTATTTAGTATTTATGGGCTAATATTCGTCTATAGTCATTGATGGGACGTCTCTGGAGGACGTTATTTGTGTATAACATTATGTAATATTCTTATTTTGTTCTAGGTACGCCTACTCGTTATCTTGGCTTATTATCGATCGGACCGTAATATAATTATAATGTCGGATGCTTCTGAGTTACGCAAGTCGTCGAGTGAATTGGAGATGTATTTGGTACACAGAATGTTCGTAGGTATCAGCTATGACAAATGACAAGCATGACACAATGTTTGTTCTAGCATTCTTATAATAAAATATTTTAGTGTACACACGCATATTTTATTAATTTGATATAATAAAGATGACTGTTAATGATGTTTTGAGTGTTTTATTATGTCAAATTGGAGATAAACATAATGAAAAAATAAAAAATGTCGATACAAAGTCGAGTAAACTGAAAACAATACTTACTTTAGTCACTTCCAAAAAAAAATAACTTATATATACCACTCAATACACTATGTCATAAAATGGAAAAAAAACTTGTTTTATTTAGGACATTTTAAGCACAATATAATACAATGCACCTAATATAGATATGTTTTGAAAATGATAACATATTATTTTGTATTTGACGCCATCATTGTACCAACTTTCGATTTTTAAGTTATTGGATTGAATATTTATATAATTTTAGCATTTTAATCTGAGAATATTATTCTATTTTTTCGATACCTATGCGTTTATCTATAATAAGTAATAATAGATTATTTATTAAACTTGAGGCCACCTTATCAGAGCTCATATCTAAACAAACAATTAATACCTATACTAAAAGTGTATGCACCGAAAGTAAAGAATCGTAGTAATCGTACATGACAAAACGCACGTCGAACACGAACGCACAAGTGATACATCAACAGCGTTATAGCTTATTAGTTATAATTATTTTAAGTTCAGATTGGAGATGGTTCGTCTAAAAATACATACACATAAAACATATATTATTTAATATTTAAATTTCACCGGCTTTTTTGAGTCGTTGACTACATGGCTAGACCCAATAATTGCCCCACGTCCTCTAAAAATTTCGGTGACGGCTGTCAAAAATTTGGCTTTATTGACATTTAGTACGAACGGACTGAAAACTTAAATACAGATTGATTTCAATTTTCAACAAATGATAGAAAATTATAGTTGTATTGATTCATAAGACAAAAAAGAGACATGAAAATAAGAGGATTAGAAAAAAAAAATACATTATTATTAGTTGGTTAGGTTTTATTCTTATGCCCCTAATTAAAACTTGGTCTGCCTACATTGAGCAAAATCGTAATACCGATGCTCGGGTTTTAGCAGATTCCATATACGGATTGGGAGTATAATATTTAGTAGTTAATGCAACTACAAATGCTGTATAATACCAGGTTTCTACTCAATTACTTACATTTTCAAACCAAAACAAATCACTGACATTATATTTATCACATTTTATTGATCATTGGTAGATGTGCGTTATGACGTTGTTACTGTACACAATTTTTTTTTATCCGATAATCAGAGGACATCGTCTTTTTGTTTGGGTGTAGACACAATTTTTTATCATTTGGATACAGCCATTAAATCTGTTGACCACAACAACATCAACAATAATAGCGGTAGGTAAATAACATTCGAAAACGTTCTAAATATACCTACTTCTGTTTTTAACCTACTGTACAAAACAACGACCCACGTCACAGGAATAACAAAATATATTTGTATATTGTAACATTATTACTACTACTACTACTATAGTACTATTACTACTGTCTACTACTACTAATCTATTATTATTATTAATATAAATATTAACGACATTGTGTGCAATTAAATACGCGCATCGCAGTATCGCACAAACATGCGTACAATATTTATTTATACAATATACAATTATGTAAATTTCAGTGATTTCACTTTTTATAGTAAGCTCGTAAGGGACAACTTCACGTTTTGTTTACGTGCGCCTATCAACTCAAATAAAATTATCATTATTAAATATTATTATCATTCATCGTCATACATTCGCACGGCCGCGGCACACAAGTTACAAGTACTACAACAGTCTACAGTGGTCATAATAATATTAGCTCCGACGGACTTTGATCCGAACGTGCGCAAGGCGTTTATAAATAAAAAAAAGCAATCTACTAATAACCTAATTATCTTTCTTTTTATATATATTGTTTACCTACATCATCAGCGATGATTTTTTATAGTTACCAATCTACATCTCGGTAAATGTTATTGTATTGTGAATGTCAATATTGTTTTGTTTCGATAAAAGCCGACAAGTCACAACCGATTAGGATCAAAAATCAATACCTACCTATACTTAAACAAATTATAAAAATAATAATATTATTATAAAAAGGAAGACGAGGCAATAATAACAATACACAATATATTTTTATCATATATAGCATAATACGACGTTGTCGGTTTTTAGAAGAACGGACATCGGGCACGGCGAGAGTGAGTACTCGACTCGGCCATTGCGAGTGGTGCCTACTGTAGACGGGTTGAAAATGCGTCACCGACGGGGGCCGTACAAAAAGGGAAGCTTCCCCTTCGCCCGGTGGGGTAGGGAGGTGTGACTGACGTCATACGTCAGTCGTCTGCCGCACACAACCGCAACTACGCCGGATCGTGTGTGGGGTGGCGTTGGCGGTGGAGGGACGGCGCCCCCTCAGAGCTTTTCACCGATCCGTCAGCCACGATGACGACCTCGACATTGACATTTCCGCGTAATCCCCCCCTCCCCCCAATAATATACTTAAGCGCTGTGGCCGGAAATCACGTCGCTTTTTGGACGAGCGTGTACCTTAAATTAAAATTTTAACAACTCGTGGCGATTCGGCTGGGTGCGTGTACGTCACTATCACAACTTAGCTGCCGCGAGTGTACTCTGATGAATTTGTCCTGGACACTCCTTCGCTGCACTCGGCTGAGGAGACACCGGAAACCATTCATGCGAGGGTGCCGATAGATTCCAACACGCATACCTACACATTTTAAAATAAATGGGAACTAATTTACCAACCGTGCAATCGGACCACAGCAGTCGTACCTCGTGCATGTATATATTAATAAGAGTACAGCGTAATAAATGTAATTGTTTATTTTATATTAATTGTAATTTTGTATAATATATTATAATATATAGCATTGCACTATAAACGCGATTACTCAGACAGAAAAATATCGACATTTTAAATTAAATCAATCATATCATACACAGGTAGGTTGAAAAATGTATAAAAAGCAAAATAATATGATACATATTATGTATATAGTTGAAACTGTGAATGTTAGCTGATGATCCAAAAAGTGTCAATATTACCATTCGATAATTGATAATTAATAATTAATAATAAGTTAATAAAATGGAATTGTTTTGTATGGTAAAAAAATTACATTATCTAGGCACTTACATAGATTATATATGGGTAAAAATATACAAAATACAATAAACGAAGGTATTTGATTTTTTTTAAGAGTATGTATTTGTCTATATTTAATTGAATTAATATGATAAACGAAATCAAACAAAATTAAATTAAAAAAACCTCCAATCAATCAAATAAATACTTACCTTGTGCTTAGGTATAAAAATGTATGGGTTGGAATATTTTATAGTTTTCGTAGTAAAATGTATTAAACATTTTTACAACTCTCAGTCATTTTTGATTAATAAAAATGAATGCATTTAGATGTAGCTGCCAGGTATTCGTGTTACCTAATCGCAATCCTCAATGATAAAGTATAAGAACGTGCCATCAGAAGTACCTACTGTAGAAACTTGAAAATAAGTACCTAAGTACTGGTGACTTATTTATTATTGGTGCTTCATACAGGTATGACGTAAATGTTTGTGTTTGTGTTATTTTTTTTTTTTTTGATTGTTATTAGTTATACTTTGAAGTGTTTAAACTTTAAACTAATTATTGCGATCGTAATATTATGGGATATATTCTTTGCGATCAGATAGCTTTCGCTTTCTGTTAGGTACACGTCATTCAGTCTGCAGTTATAGATTTCGTACTATTATAGGACTCTCGCATATAGAGACGAATATTGTCTAAAAGCCGTTTGGGTACAGGGTTCTTCCCTAAAGACCTAGCAAACCATATAGCAATTTACTCTACTAACTAATAACAATCATCATTCATCCTTTGACCTTTGCTCTAATGATTACTAAATACTCAGTACAATAATATTAAAAATTCATTAGCATAAATTGTTAGAATATGAGACATATTATGAACAACCGTACTTAAGATTATTTTTAACTCCATTATACGTTTTCACCACAATTTTTTCGGAAAACTATTATAGAAAATTCTAAACAAAACGCCTGAAACAGTTGAAAGGTATCACCGACATATTTTAATGTTTGTTCAATTTAAAATCTATAAACTGTTTTCGAACATATAACATTTAAAGAGCTACACTTCTATACGTACACTAAAAAAGGTGCAGAAGCCATAAGGTACGGAACACAGTCAACGGATCTGCACTGTTAAACCATCAATTCTTCGTTTGGCTCAGAATGTTTAGATGACCGCAGTCCGCAGCTAATACAGTAATACTTTATCGACCATAAGAATTTTCACTGTCGGGGATACCTTCCCGTAATATATTCTGTATTCAAAAATTTATAATGGAAAATGTTTAATACTTTCATCCGTCGCAATAATATAAGAAGATCGATATTTGCTGTTTGCAAAGACCTTTTCTCGAACACAGGCGATGAATGGATTTTTTAAGATTTATTTTCTAACGCCGTCGAATCGTCGTGAAATTACCATGTGAATAATTGAATGACTTGTAGTTTTATTTTTAAATCACGGATACACACAGACGCGTGATTTATTTCCTGTTCCATTATAATATGGTACACCGCTGGTTGTTCTGTAATTCACGTAGGAACTATAATAACGTCGTGCCAAGGTCCATTTTACACGAAACTAACCAAGTTAGCTCTATGCATTGTTCAGGTAATATTTTTGAATTCAAATACAAGAGTTATGTTATAGAAATAGGTTATGTGGAAATATTTAAGGAAAGAAATAAATAAAACAACATAGTGAACAATAAAAAATAATATTTTATTAATTAAGGATTTTATTACAAATCAAAATGTAAAATACATTTTTCTCTTCCGGCAATTATACAATAAAATAGACTTATATAGAATTAATTTTTTTTGCGTACAGACAGAAAAACATAAAAATAAGGTAAATAAAGATAATTTAACAATTTTTTTTTTAGTTTAAATAATTTAAGTGTAAGACAGCATAATTTTGTAAGACAATTATTAAGTACAAGTTTTTTGAAGTTCCAAAACAGTTATATTAATACTGTGTACAATATTTAGTCTATCAATCAGTCTAATTCAATGATTTTGTTTTATTGGAAAAAAAACCGGTGATAAAATTTATTTTGGTACTATCAGACAAATGACAGGAAAATAACTTAATAAAATAAAAAAAATAAAAAGACTAGTTTCTTTTTTTCATCAAAATATATAATTAAACGTAACAAATATTTTTGACTATTGTATTTCAAAGGACAAGTTATTATCACATTCAGTATTGTAACTTATAATGGTTTCTAGACAAGTATTGTTTTTGTTGTAGTTTGGGCGCCATCACAAATATAAACTAGTATAATGATAATTTTGGTAGGTATTAATTAATAATGTAGTTATGCTATGAACAATTTTAATCAAGATTTATGATATCCACACATTTTCAAATAAAAAAATGAATGGTAACATAGTTTCTTATTGTTGTTGTTTTGTACTTGATTTTTAAATATAAAAACAAAATAACTATTACAGTTTAATGAATTAAAACTATATTAAATAACTATCTTTGTTAAAATTAATATGATTAAAGAAACTATTTGTTTCGACGAATAATTGCATATGAGAGTTATGTGTGTATAAATCAAAAGTATCATGACAGTTTTTCAATTTTTTGTTTGGTTCATTGAAAGTGAATAATTTAGAATCAACGATGAGGCGCCCAATGTAATAATAGTATTTTTTTTAAGCTAACTCCAAAACAATAACAGTTTTTATTTTCATGTTTTAGTAAACCCTATTTACCTAGATAAATAAAGATAAAAGCTGAATATCTTAAAAAAATAGTAACAAACGTATCACAGATTATATATGGTTGATTAATTTTTACCTATTATAAACAAAACAGAGCATCAGACTTAACTTACCAACCCATTAAAATAATTTTCCCTTTATGATACAACGTAACAGCCTAATGAACATCTAACAAATTTAAGTACAGTCTATCATTGAGTATCCAGGTAGGACATATGTTGCCCCTTACGAACGAAAACTACATTAAAATTATTTGCAAAAGAATACATTTTGTGATATGGTATTTTTAATTTTATTTGGTCAATCAGACTTATGGAGTGCGAGTTATAAATTATTGCAGCCAAAATATTCTATATAAATACTTTTCAATATATCTTAAAAATATTTGATCTGTGATATTTTATAAAAAAGCTTTTGAATGAAATTGTACCCCCAAATTACATAAGTATTGATAAAATATTATATACATTAATTTATACACTAAAGTAGGCGGGTTGGTAAGAAAGAACAATAAGAGCCTACCAAGTAATTTATTTTAAATCTTGCCTAGAATCCTGTTGGATTTAAATTGTATTGATTTTATATTTGACACTATCAGAGTATCTTAATTTTAAAAAAACCCTCATTTTTTGATCACTGTTAATACATCAAGACATTTTCAACAATAGTATAATACATTAAACATTAAGGTTATAAGACCTTGTCCCCTATTGATTGATAGGCTTAAGTTATAATTAGTCGGGTACCTTTTTTATTTTTCAAATAGTAGTATTCATAAAGAACTAAAAAATAATATTAAAAATAAACCATAATGCTGAGATAAGCCATAAGCTGTCAATATTAATATGTACATAATATAAAATGTAACTAATAATTTTTTTATATAATATAGGCTAGGTATCAACTTAAAATAGGCTATTATTTATACATTTTTTAGAATACTCTATATTATTAACCAAAACACACGACGCATCCATTTAAAAAAAAACAAAGTCAGCATTTTAATAGATGCGACTCGTGTAATAAATAATTTATTATTCTAAACAAAGTGCCGGCACTTACCCATGCACACAAGAGCACACTATGATTTGATGTTGGGTTTCTTGACTTTTTACTGTTTATTTTGTCATAGCGCAATATTGGTGCCCAGTGGACAGGACGTGGCCATATTGGATACTGGCCGGCTTTTTGCTGATCTAGTCAGATTTGGTACTGACCGTTGATGGTCGTCGCCTTTGGCCATATCTCAGGATCTTCTCCTCGCAATATCTTTACTGGATGCGGTCGATGTGCTATCTGTAAAACACACATAAATTCTATTGTTAGAAAATAGTCTCTAGAAGTTATTGAAATTGTTTAAGTTTTTTTTTTTTTATTTATTATAATTAAAATGTTTCAACATATTACATGTTTTAATTTGTTTAAGTTAAAATGAGTTGTATATGCTGGAAGAATTTATAAATAAGACCTGGCTACGTTTGTATACTAGGTGATAGCTGGTAGGTAATATAACTAAAGAGATGATTGTATTATTTTGGTATTAATATTAACATCAATAAGACTTAAAAATTGGTTACAACAATGTTAATGATTTTTATACTTTCAGAAGCTTTACAAGTAACATACTTATACATAATAACAACAACAAAGTGTTTATATTAATTTTACAAAGGAGAAGGTTAAATTGTCGTCATACAAAGTTGAATAGCATGAGAATACAATGAAATTTGGGTCATAGCAAATACAATGAACGTTGGGCCAATGGTGTTGAATGTAGGGTTTATCGGGGACACAGCAAACAGACCGTAAAAAAGTTTAGTCGTCACAAGCCAATTACTAATAATGCACTAATCCTGGTATGCTCAAATAGCAAACAAACAAATAAGCACCTAAATTTCAACACTTGTCGGAATGAAACACGTTAAAATGTATGGACGCACCGGATTTGGAACAGCGAACCTGACGTTCTTGGTTCCTCTCAAGCTGTTCCTCCGGGGATGGGTCATGCAAGGCGTGTAAGGGTTGGGTTTATTTTTCTTATCTAGAGACTGACACTCACTGTCTTTGGACTTGGACGTTAGCGACCGTCTGAGCTTGTCGACGAGCTTTGAGTGGAACATGTTCAGCGACGACGTGGACGACACCTTGGGCGGCGACGAGGACGACGACGATGACTTGGCGGGGCTCTGCAGGCTGGACTGCGAGTTCCGGGACGAGTTTCTGGAGGCCACCCCGTGGTGGTGCTGCTGGCTGCCGTGGTGGAAAGCTGTTTGCTTGGACACGCCACCGAGTGACCGGTGCGCCGGCGAGCCGACCATAAAATCGCTGCCGGGCGACGTGGACAGCGACGGGCCGTCGGCCGACCGGGAACCGCTGTGCACCCGTCTGGTGCCACCGCAGGACGAGGCTGACGAGCCAGACGTCTTGTCGTTGGAACACTCGGAAATGCGTCGGTTCCGGTTCGATTTGTAAATATTGTAATCATTTTTCACAACAGGCATCATGAAAGCCATGGTTTTTGTATTATGCAAGTGTCACAGAAAAAAAAAAAATATGGAATCGACGACGAGTTTTACTCTTCGGAGCGAACTATTTTATAACAAATTCGATGGATTTCCGTCCAACAATCGTATCACGATTTTTCTTTTATTCCGTTTTTCAATACTTTTTTATTTCACTGTCCGTATGCGTATTGTTATTCCAATACGATTCCAATATTTAATAATTATTATGGACCGATAAAATAATTTAAAATTATTATCATCAATTCGCACTGATAGATTGTTACCGGTATGCAAGTCAGTCGGCAACTGGCGGGAATTTATAAATTCGATTTCGGATAAGGACGTATATTATGTTTATATACGCGCGCGCTTATATCTATAGAAAAAAAAAAACGTTTCTGTAACGTTACCGATTTCGTTTCTCTATTTTACTCCACTGGACGAGTCGAACGTTAAGAACGGTGCGCGAGTCGTGACTATGTGCAACGCAATGCAACGGAATGAGAATCACTTTGGCCGTGTGACCTTTCCGCCGTGCGTGCGGGAGTTACCACCTCCGCCGCCGCCACAGCACCATCACACCGCACCGCACCACACCCGCTGCACCGCCGCACCGCTGAACCCGCCACGCCACAAACCGGGCCCGCTTCACCGCACCACCATGACCAGGTCCGCTTCACCGCCGCGCCGACCCCACCCTCCGAGACGACGTTACGAAACCCGTCCCGCCGCCGCCGTCGCCGTCGGTGGCCTCGGGGACGCGTCGGTTACACCGGTCGGTCGGCGTCCTAAAACACGGTTGGTTACAGCGGGCGGGCGAGGGGCATTAGGCATTCGTCGTCTGGATGTTATTGATCCGAACCGTCCCCGCGGCGCTCCCCTCGCTGCCTTGCCGACCGCCGACTCTGGCGTACGTGCGTGCGTGCACGTGTGGCAACCGCTTACCGCCCGTCCCCACACCGCCGTCGCGAAACAACGGTTTTCTCTACCCTCCTCCGCTCCAGACGGGTCGGCGTCGGCGGCGTTTTTTACGACGACGGGTCTCCACCGCCCGTGCACTGCACCGCCACCGTACCGTGGGGGAATATTGTCGGCCGCATTTCGATCCCGGTGCTGGCAGATGGCGCGACGCGTACGCGCGCGAGTCCCGTGCGCCCGCCCGCCGACCGCCGCGGCCAACCGAATTCCAGTGGTTCCCAAACGCCTGTGAGCCGAACGTTCTGTGAACCGTCCTGGCCGTCATGTCCGACGGCGGCGGTGGCCGTGCGTCGAATATTCCACTCGTATTATATGATTATTCGTATTATTATTATGATCATCGTCGTCGTCACTCGTCGCCGTTGAACAACAAGTAAATACGTCTGCGTATTATTCGTATTTCGTATTTTTGTCCGCGACTCGTAGCGTACTCATCGTTATGGTGGTTTTTCTCGGAGCACCCGTCCGCCATCGCTGCCGTCTTCGTCGTCGTCGCCATCGTCGTGCACTTCCGACGAACGATGGGGAAATCATTATCATTGGATTTTTGCGTATCGTTTCCGTCGTGCTCTGTGCACGGAAAAACGTCGTTGTTACTCTAACGTGACGCCGCCGTGAAAAAACCGTCAGGTCGCCAAGTCCGGAGCGAAATCGGAAAGAGTGACATGTCACGGTATTCTGCCGTCGACCCCGCTCATAGCTATATTATAATATTATTGTAATAGTACGTATTGCGTTTGAATAATATTGTATAGGTATTTTGCTACGTTTCGTGGCCGTGTCGTTCCTCGGCGAAACGGTCTCTCGCCCGTCGTTGGTATATTATAGGCTATAGCACGACGCGGGATTCGTGGTTTTTGTTTTAAAATATCACGTCGTCGTAACTTCAATTGTGATAATATTACAATATTTATGACAAAATAACAAACGTTCCTGCACGAATGTTTGGGAAAACAATAATATTGGAATCGTACGCGACTCGGGGGACAGTCGCAGTACATGTCTTGACTGCATTTATTTACAATTGTCCATAATAGGGACACGAAGTAAAATAAACAAAAATAATAGTTTTATTGTTGATATTATTATTTTCGTCGTCTCTGTTTCCACGGATCGATTATTTTCGTGTTTGATACTTCGATATTGCGCGACGACCAAACGAGAATTGGGTCGTCGTCGTCGAGAAACGAATAATACATTTTTTCGATCCGCTCCGGTCGGTCGGGCGGGCTTTTTTTTGTTGTCTACGTGGCAATCTGACGAATTTCCGATTTCATCCGACCTTGCTAACGTTCCACATAAAGCATTTATAATATTATTTATATGAAATCTATACTTATGGTGTTGATAGTTGATACGTATTATTATTGCTATCGTAACGATGACACACAAACCCAAACTCAGATCCATAAACCCGTAAACACGGGGGAAAGTTTAATAATTATTATATAAAAGTAAAAGTATCCGATAATAATGTCCACCGTTTAATACTTTAATGAATGTGCACACGCACAGCATTACGACGGCACAATTATTAAGATTCTAGAATATTCTCCGAACTTGTGGCACGAATGAGCACTGAGCAGGTGCACGTTTTTGTTGCTTTCCGTAAACAAAATCCGTTTGTGAGCAATACGAGTGAACATTTAATTTTTAAACATAAAATATTATGATAGTTTAGATTATGATTCGCTATAATATCGGCGAAAAGAAAACCGAGACCCTCCAGTATTTGCAATGTTTTATTGAACATCCGTAATCTCTATCGCTGAAAACGCAACAAGTATATGAAGCACCAATATTACTTACCTATTATTAATTTTTTATATGTTTTTTCTCGAGATATGTATAATATGTATAATATCCTTTGGATATAGTCTGAAATAGTGACGCAATACACGACTACTGCTTTCGGTCATAATATAGTGTATAATACAGTAAAAATTATTATGTGACTAATAATCGGTAATAACGTATAATATTCTTAAATAAATAATGCATAGACCTTCAATTATGTCTTCAAAAACCCTGGAGATATTGCTTTATAAAATTGCAAACACAAATACAGCGAAATTACCCACACAACTAGTTGTACGGTGCTACGGTGAAATGCATGTTTATGAATGACATAAATAATTGATGTCTGGGAAAGTGGGAAATAAAATATTACGATGTGCATGAATTGAAGTCTGGGAAACAAAAAAAAATACGATGTGCTCAATATTTGGGTCAACGTGGTTTCAATTAAAAATGACGAAACGATATAGCGTACTACACTACTACGCACTTATATACCTATGTGCCTACGTATATGCTTTAGTATGCCAATAATTTGTCCAATTTACATAACATGATAATTTATACTAATAAAGTAATAAGCATTGTTACTGTAATTCCCGAAACCGAGATTTCGATTTGTCACATTCCCACCTTCATTAATAGAACATACTATTTTACTCCATCGACACCGTCCAGGATTCCGGTCGACGAACTCATATAATTGGTTAAAAAAAACTAATGTAAGTGAAATCGTAAGATTAAAAAAATGTCCACGTGTTCCTACGTGTACTCGTCGGGCGGGGCGGAGCCGGTTTATACGCGAAAGTACCGATTTTTGCATATTTTTACAGTAATCGTTTTGGCAGCATTTTCGGTCGTGTGCGGAAAAAACAACATACGTGACGGGAAGTGACGAGAGACCACGGGCGTGTGACGAATAACCCTTTGGCGGATATACAGCGCATACACAGTGCACACAGTGATAATAATATAAAATATAATAGTATGCACGCGAAGTCGGGCGCCAGTGCGACGCCGACGCGTGCAGTTTGTACGAAAATAACTGAAACCGAAATAATTCGTGGGATTTTGCGGAAGAGAGATGGACGAGTAGACGACACGATCCACGCAGAGACTATAGGGGACGGGCCACTGACTATAAAAGTAACGGATTATTAACCAAAATGCGAGTGAGAGGAGATAAATAGTGATATGAGAACGAGGCGACTATGTCTTACTTCAAAGAGTCGTTCATTTATTCATTTCCACACGTTTAACCGATTGCTATTAGAACCTTCGTGCCATCCAATAATTATTTTATGTATACAAACTATATAATATCCTAAATGCCAATGCACGTGCATTTCCGGATCGAACATAAGTATGTTACCGCTCCCCCCTCCCACATACAAGTATAAACTCGAGATTTTAACATAAAATATATTAGTATTTTTATATTGTACATTATTTTGTCAGTGATACGTGGAGCTATTCGACATAATATTATACTATACGTATACGGTATACGCATCGCGTGGCTTGTATTATTTAATCACCACTATTGGAGATAATATAATAATGTTTCATTGTATTTATCAATTTTTGCCTATTTACTCATTGTGACAGTTCCCGATGATTAGGAGCAGACGACTATGGTTATACAGTCCGCAAGCTCCGGTATAGTAGGACAATTTAGATGGCGGCCATTGGCAAAGAAATATTTAAAGACTATAGTGCTCGCTACGCTCCCAATCATTTCATATTACGGAAAATTGATGAATGTTCAGAAGAATCCGTTTTTCTCTGTTGTTTTAAGTATTAAAACTAATTGACCCATTATCAATTATAAAGGTAAGAATTTGGGGCACTTCGAAAGGTTTTTTTTTGAAAATTCAGTACTTAGTAAATGTAAGTATACACTCGAATCCATTTACCTTATCCATACTTTACACCATTGTGTGTTATATATTTATATGCAATATGCATTCGAATGACGATTTTCCTAGGTATTCAGTTACTGTACAGTTGTACACGTGCGATGTTCGCATTATATTATTTTCGTTTTTCATTTTAACGTCACAACTCATAACGTAGATGATATTGTCGAGTAGATGGGCTCTCTCTATATTTATATATCGTGTTGAATTGCACACATTCGTTGTATTGTTGAACTTCAAGCCTGTCCATATTGTGTGTACTATATATTGATGCACGCCTGTGAAGTTTTCAAGTATGAGGTCGTGAATTACATTTAATATATTATATATTAATATATTCGTTGTGTCTATGTGGCAAATTGTGTGTGTTTCGTATGTTACATTACTTATATTATATACTTACTTACTATTATATTAATATCATACTCCGTGCACAGTACGTGTGAATCGTGAATATTTAGTCGTCGCCCGTCGACAGGTTGGCGTCCACTCGTACAAAACGTATATATTGTAATAGTAGATAATACTATAATAGTATAATATAGTTAGTTACCTACACTAAAAACGATTTGCATAAAATATAAAGACCCACAGACGGTGCAGATGCGATAGAAATATTCCGTTCGCAACATTCGAAAAATCGCTTTGTTCATTTTTTCAGTACGGTCAGCTATGTGCGTGCGTTTATTGAAAAGGATTTGTTAATGATTTGACAATGTTCAGTGAATCATAGGAACTATTTATATTTTATTTCGTCTCTTACGTATACTATTAATTAATCACAGATTAAAATAGCATAATTGTATAGTATTATAGTATATAATATTGCAATGTGAATAATGTGATGACGCA